AAAAGTTCGAAAAGTTAAAATTGAACGTGAAAAACATTTAGACAATAAAAGTTAAATTAAAAAACTCTAAATTTAACAAAACAAATGAAAAATAAACAATAATAATAAAAAATAAAATAAAAAAGTAACACCCTTAAAATTACAAAGCATTCAAAATTATAGTGGAAAAGTGTCGCAAGAAAAAAGAAGAAATTTTGCCAAATTCGGCGTATTTATGTGAATTTATAAGAAAAAATATTGCAAATAAGTTTAAAGTTTTTGCACTGCTCATGATATGCCCACTTTATGCTTTTCTTCATTTTTTTCTTTTTTCTTTTTTCTTCATCTTCAGTCATCTCGCTGCGAAAAATAGGGAAAAGTTCATGTCCTGTAAAATATTTGCGATTTTGTCCAACATTTTTTGCCATTTCCAAGCAGAAATGTTGTTTCTACTGGTGTGCATTATAATAATCACTTGTCTGCCGATACAAAGTTTGCTGTGGTAAATTTATTGATTTAACTTACTATAGATAAGTTTATAATGCTTATGTAAATGTGGTAAAACCACCTTAATACTAATTTGTTAAAAAAAAAAAAATTGGTAGTATATTTTTCGGAAATCTTTATATCGGGCTTGAATTCAGCTGGAATGAATGTTATGAGAGAGAAGAAGACATTTAAGTGTCCTCTGTTGTATGAATTGACTAATGCCTAATCTGTTGTAAATGTCTCAATCTTATCATAATTAGAGCTAACGCTTCGCTCACAGCTTTTCATTTGACATGAAAACTGAGGGCAATGAGAGATTAATTGCTTCTAAACACTCTGTATACGTCGAATGMTGTGGACTAAAATCATGACGATATTTGTATAGGTAGTTTCTAAAGCACTCAGAGTCACTTAGTAGTTGTGTCAGGTGGAAATTTGGCTCCCCTTGTTGTCTATCTAACCACGAATGTGAGCCTAAAACCGTGCCTTGCAAATGAACGAGATATGAAAAAGAATGTATGCAAAAGTTTTTTTTCACCATGACAAAACCTCATGAATTGGACTTCGAATTGCTTCCAAATTTACCGCACTCTCCATATCTGGCCAGATCTCAAAAGAATGCACGATGTTTCCAAAGGTCAACAAAAGTGATAGAAAAGTTGATGGTTCGCTTTAATCAGTGTCACGTGTCACAGTGTCACGTATGAAGGAAGCTACTATGTAAATAAAATAGCAAATTTTGCAAAAAAAGTGGGAGGCTGGGAACTTGTCAATTGACYTGTTATATGTAAATGATAAGCGATGACTATTCTCAGTGCGCAAAARGCAATCTAATTTGTTTATTTTTCTATGAAAATTTTATTTACTTATATATACATAATCTCTTAGTTATTTGTGTGCCATATTTACTTTAATTCTATAGTTTAGTGTTTGTGTGCCTGCGTCTTAATATATTATTAATCACTTTGTGCTTGATAATTTACTGTTTAATTAAAATTTATTGACTAAATAATGATTGCCAGGCGCCAAATGTGTAAATACTTATCTTGCATATTATTGAATTAAAAAAGTATAAATATGTTCAATAATCGACACATACAAACATACACAAATAACAAATAGTGGAAATGAGGATTCAATGCAATTTAATCTAATTTGAATATTATGTGATTAAGAGACAATTTAAAAAATAGTAAGATTTTGTGCATATTCTAAAATTATTAATTTTTTTCTCAAAACCTTTGCCATTTTTCTCRAAGTAATCACAGTTGGGCCGGTCAGAGGGAATTCGGAGTGCAGCATACCTCGATAATCGATAAAATTGTCAACATAATCTTGATTTTTGACCTGCTTGTCGTGTTTCTTCGGCTTCGGCTCACCTTTTCCACGATWTTCGGCCGATTGATAGTCTGTTTCCGGGTCGCAAGTATCGACACAAGACTCATTGCCAATAATAAATAATACGTTTMATAACATCTTTGTAGCCAGCAAGCATTGTTTTACAGACGTTAGCACGACGCTGTTTTTCGAATAAATTTAGTGACTTTGGTATCAATCGTGCTTTCACTTTTCTTAGTCCTAAATGATCTTTTAAAGTGTTTTCACTGATCCCTCCGATATTATAACGATACCAGTAAGGTCTCTGACTGTTACTTTTTATACTAATCCAGCTGTCATACGGTGGCTTTGCACGGATTAACACTCCCTAGTACATATATATGTTGTTGCACTTAAATGTAGAGTTAAGCATTAATTTTTTTCTAACTTACGCATTTAAAGCGCTGATCTTATTTTTTTGTGTCTCTGCTGTCATTGCAGGTATCGACAGACACGTTTCAGTTCACGGCGTGTGCGGAAACGGGTTATCTTCAAGCATGGGGAATGTAATGTGGTTCAAGGCAATGTGGCGAAACGCCGGCGCAGATATCTACAGGTGAGTGCGACTAAACTAAAATAATAATAAAAGAAACAATATATAAAATAGAACCTAGTTATCGCTGGTGTCTCAAAATTAACGCAAGATTGAAATTTGCCGAAATTTATGGGGTATAAAAAAKTATTAAAAACAAACGAAGCGAAAGCTGCCAGTTTAGGATTAGTAAAAACAGCGGTCACTCAGTTCTTAGAAAATCATGATTCAGAATCTCAATCAAAGTTTTGTTAAAAAGAAACCCAACCTAAATTTTCTCATTTCAAACAAATTGTTGTTGATTCGCTTACAGATATTTATTCATAACTCATGGTAGTGCTAAGAATTTCACTTTTACATAGACTAGTTAATTAATTAGTTAAATTTAAAAATTGTTTCCTGCTTAATTTGGAATCCGTTCTCTATTCGTCAATTGCATATTGATCGATTGCGTATACGTCGTGACCACATCTTCCTTACTGCTGATTTGGCCACTTCTGCTAGTTTGCGTCCTTCGAGTGCGGTTGGTAGCGTTGAACAACGCGCCCGAAACGGTAGGCTGAAAGTTACGAAATCGGARTCGTCAATGTCGGTGTCTGAGTCTRTGCTATCGTCACTGGCACTGTAAGCTGAATCGGATTCGGAGTCCGACTCTCTGTCGTTGTCTCTGTCATGGGCCACTGCAGCAGCGGACAATGCGGCAAGTCTCTGCAATGCCGTTGGTTCTCCAGGATTCGGTGGAGTAACTTCGTACGGTTGAGGTGGTAATATGGCAGCACCAGCTTTGTTGATGATATTTGTTGCGACTTCCGTCATTTTAATTGAGTTTTTATAACRRATTAGTTTAAGCTAGAAATATGTTTAACCACGGAAGAGTTCGCTGTTGATTCTTCTTTACTCACTTCTTACTCACTTGTGTGCTTAGAGGCGCGATTGTTTTGCGAATGCGACACTTTGCTGAAATTGCTCTAATTTATATCGTAAAAAGCAGGCAGCACTGTTTTCTGACAATTGAAAGATCTAGCACAGTGCAGGTACCAAGGAAGGCAGGTATAAATTTCTTTGAAATTGTAGGAGATAAATTTTTAGTAGGTTTTGTTTATAGTGTCCGTGTACCTTCCACTGTTATCATATGGTAACCTTTTTTGGATAATGTTTTTGTTTTATATAATTTAGTTTATTTAGTGTTTTGATCTCAGCATCACCATTTGTAACAAGTGAAGGCGTGGCACGTGAATTACGAAAGTTTTTTACGTCACAAGGTTAGTGGGGCAAAATACATTCGTTAGTTTTGTTGAGGAAATATTTGAAATTGTCATTAAAGTAACCGTAAATGTTTTCAAAACATTTGGCTTTACTAAGAATTAGCAGAAAAGTAGGTCGGTAGGGTTTATAATATTTACAGGAGTTCATTTTGGAATATGCCTGGTTATATTGAGCGAAATATCGTGGATTATAATTAACTATGGAAATTACCGTTTGTTAATGATTGAATACATTTATTAAAACAGAAAACTGCTTAATAGTTATATATTTACATTAGATCTCGTGAATCTCTGTTCTGAGAATTACATGTATTCACAATTTGCGACAGTTCTGTGTGGATTTTGGCTGGAAGCATACTGGGACCATAGTTTTTGGAAAATGGACTTAGAGTTTTTGCAGCTATTGTATGATATTGATATGTCCAATATGTGGTTTCAACAAGACAGAGTCATATATCATACAGCCCTTGAAACACATCATTTCTTGCATGAGACATTGGCAGGATGTGTACTTTCCCATTTTGGTGATCAGTATTCGCTCTAGATAGTCTGATTTGACACTATAAGATTTATTCTTATGGGCAATTTAGAATTGCAGTTCTATTGCAACAAGCCGAAAACCACGCGTGCTTTAAAGGGGGAGATCAGCAATGAAATTCGGCCACATTTATGCCGAGTAGATATGAAAATTTTCTACAAACGATTGCTTATGTCTATAGAAAGCTGCAAAGCCATTTGTCTGATGAGTGTGTCTGATGTCTTTGCTCTTTATGATACAATAAAAAAACTGTATTTATGTGCGTTCTCTATTTAATTTCAATCAAGTGAAATTTTGGGACACCCTTTCTATCAGACTCCTTTCTGTTCTCCAATCTGGAAACTCTTCCAGAAAACCTCTAAAAGTGTGATAACTCAATAAGTGTTATAAATATGTATTATAAAAYCTCAAAACTTCAATAATAAAAATCTTAAAATCGATAATATATTATTTGAAATCGGTCCTCTGACTATATTCTTGTTCTTCTAGCAGACTATGTGGGACAGTGTGTGAGTTATCTTCGTAAAACTGCGCGGAAACATGTTCTCAAGTTTTCTAAGTAAACTCAAAAGTCAATGCAAGCATACTTTACCAATTTTCCAGATGACTTTGAATCCGTTATAGTGATTTCCGATTTTGCTCCTGACTTTAAACCGTATATGTTAGCTAAAATGTGTGATCCTTTAATGAAATAAAGTATATAMGAGATATCGTTGAAGACATGCCTCGTTCTGAACTGATGAAAATATGAAAAAACTGAATGATATGTCGATTGAAAATCGTCAGGGAAGTGTCAGAGAGATGGCAAGAGAACTCGACATCTCTCACGAGTTCGTTCAAATCCTTTTGGCGGATATTTTGGGTTTGAAACGTATTCTTGCTCGACTCGTCCCGATAAAGCTGTATTGTTCTCAAAAAGAGTACCGTAATCAGGTCTCTTTGGATATACTTGATCGGGCGAATGCCGATCCCACATTAAAAGACAGCATAATAACTGCCACGATTGGGCCCAAATTTAAAGCCAAATGCGGAGTGAGAACCATCGATCAAATAAGGTATTCACCAAATTTGGTTCGGCGTAATTTTTTTTTGTTCCCCAAACTGAAAATACTGCTTCGTAGAACCACTTTTCCGTCGAACAAAGAGATAAGACAAAATTCGCTTAAGAAGTTGAAGGCCATTCCAAAACGTGCTTATTAAAGTTGTTTCGGGGAATGGAAAAATCGTTGGCTTAATTGTATTACATCTAATGATGAATAATTAAATATAATATTTTGTTTCGTTTACAATTTCCGGGTACTTTTATCTCTCTTTTGAGTTTATTAGGTTGAATTCAATTTGAAACTCTATTTTAATCCTAAATATTCTTCTAATCTCGCAATGAAAAAATTCCATACAGAAGTAAATTTTTTGTATTTTCTCTACCCTCAGGATATCTTCACCACCCTGGTCGATGCACAATGGCGTTGGACAATGCTCGTATTCGCGCTCAGTTTTCTCATCTCATGGGCGCTGTTCGCGTTCGTTTGGTGGGTGATCGCTTATGCGCATGGCGATTTCGAATATATTTACAATCGTGATTTCTTTCCCGAACGCAATGTGAATGTAACGCATCGCATGTGTGTAACGGAGGTGCGTAGCTTTGTGTCGGCTTTTCTGTATTCGGTGGAAACGCAAACRACAATTGGGTATGGAAATCGCTTCGTGACGGAGGAGTGTCCAGAGGCGATATTCATAATGTGTCTGCAGTGTATTTTGGGTGTTTTCATACAAGCATTTATGGTTGGTATTGTGTTTGCGAAATTGTCGCGTCCCAAGAAACGCGCACAAACGTTGCTCTTCTCGCGAAATGCTGTGATTTGTCATCGGGATGGGGTGCCATGTCTGATGTTCCGGGTGGGTGATATGCGAAAGAGTCATATTATTGAGGCGCACGTGCGGGCGCAGATCATAAGAAAGAAGGTTGGTATGCAAACTTTTCGAAACTAGCGTGCTGCTTGCTTTATATATAATATTTCCTACTTTTTATAGATTACTAAAGAGGGCGAAATATTRCCGTTCTATCAGCAAGAGTTGACAGTCGGCGCAGATGGTGGCGAAGATCGGCTAATGTTCATTTGGCCCACAACGATCGTGCACAAAATCGATCGCAACAGTCCGTTGTATATGCTTTCCGCGTCGGACATGTTGAAGGAACGCTTTGAGGTTGTTTGTATGTTGGGTGAGTACTAAGCAATGTTGCAAATAACGTAGTTGCTTTTAAGCTAATATAATATTTTATGTTGTAGAGGGCGTTATAGAGTCCACCGGCATGACAACACAGGCGCGCAGCAGTTACCTGCCTTCGGAGATACTCTGGGGTCATCGTTTTGTGAATGTGGTGTCGTTTCGTAAAGAAACGGGCGAATACGAGGTGGATTACACGCTATTCAATAACACTTACGATGTGGATACACCACTTTGTAGCGCCAAACAATTGGATGATGTGAAGGCCGAATATGCTAAAAATTCCAAGTTGGGCTTAGGTGAGTGGAAAAGTGATTAAAACCAAGAAGGGTTTTGCAGACAATGTAGTTTGAAGTATTAAATGCAACAACAAAACTAATTCTTAATTTGACATGCATTTTCAGAGCGCGCCTTTTCCGCCGGTCTCATGCACATACCATCCACCATATCTGTGGATCGTTTAGATCCGAATAGCGATGAGTCGTTGGACTCACGTCTGCAAACACGCAACAATTCCATCCCCAATGGGGTGCTTGCCGAGGAGCTGCAACCGCTGAATTGTGGTGGTGGTGGCGGCAGCACAAACGGTAGCTATCACTATGTGCCACCGTCGTTTACSGTTGGCGGCTCAGCGATACAAATACCCTCGTTGGCACTCTCCACAAATCTACATAGTATTAATGAGAAAACCAATTCCGGCAGCAGCAGCAGCAGCAGCACCAATAATCTCACCATTAATCCCRCCACCACGCCAAATACACTCTCACCAGCAATGGCGACGAGTGCTACATATAATAATAATAACAACAACAATAACAATCAAGATAGAAGTAATGGCGGCAGCATCAAGAAGACACCATCAAGCGGTCGACGCTTATCGATCAAACAAGATCAGCTATCGGTCGATTCGATTTGTTGATAATGGCGACGACAAAGTGTCATATGGACATATGTACCATCATGCACATGTGTATTGGTGTTTGTTGAATGATTGTTGTTGTAATGCTGCATGCGTAAGAGCAAGGAATTTTTTTTTGCAAAGCATTGACTGACCGTATTCATTTGTCTGCCGTGCAAGCCGCTTCGATTGCAAATAATTTAATTTTTTCTTCGCCTAAAATTAAATTACAAAACATTATTGATTAATATTTAATTAAAATAGTTTCTTCCATATATATACAGCTTTAATTGTAGTGGAAAGTCATAAGCGCAGTTAGCGGTAGTTTTAGCAAAGAGTAAGTTAATATTAGTTGTGAGAGAATTGCAGTAATGTGAGCAATGCCGCTCGTCGTTTCGTAAGCGTTAACTCTTTAGTTGCCGAATCGCGTTTTCGCAACGGTATACGGGGTTCGTTTCTTGCGCGATAACGCTTTAGTAACCTAATTGGGATTTCGAAAGGGTATAAGTGTTTTCTATGTCAGTTAGGCGTGGGATTGAAGTGCGTCGTAAGTTAAATTTGCAAATCGCGCGGGTTTACAACTCAATCGTTTACAACTCAAACGTGTATAACTCAATCGTTTACAACTGAACCATTGACAACTGAACCATTTACAATCGAACCGTTTACAACCGCAAACTTTATAAACGAACCATTTACAGTTCAACCGTTTGCGGTCGACGCGCTGTACGAAGAAGAGTCGTTATACAAACGAAAAAAGTCGTCAATTAATCAAAYGTTTACGCGTCATTTTGCCCATTTATACCATTAATCCTCGTTTTCAGTGTTGTATTAAATATGTTTTGTTGTTGGACGCGAGAATTTACTATTTTTGTAATTATGATTTTATTTCGATTTATTATCGAGATATGTTTATGCATAGGTTTTATGTTAGTAAAATAACAAATGTTTATGAAAGTTTCATTTTTAAACTTTTAAAGACAACAAAAATAAATATACACACACACAGTTAGAACAACAAAAAAAATAATTATAATATTTACACCAACAAGGTTTGCATATATATGAGGCGTGCTCAAAAAATAAATAATAAAAATTAACGCGAATTTTTGTTGTGGAAAAAAATGTCAAAGCTTAAATGCAAAAAAAAAAAAAAGAATCAAACGCTTTGCGGAAATGAAAATTATTTGGCATACTTTAAGCTTGTAGTGACCGTATTTCTAATTTTTTTAATTTAGACTGTTGTTTTAGAATTCCTGAAAATTATTKTTTAAAATTTTTCCAAACTAGTTTAAGTCTACAGAGCAATTTTAAATTTACTTTAATATTTAAGCTTAGCAACTAAGTGCAGAAAATTAGAATTTTTTAAATATAAATAGTAGGAAAGTCGGTTTTACAATCAGGGCTGAAATTGAGCTGATAAAAAAATGCAGAATGCTATTTAAAAAAAATTCACAAAAATACCAAACACTGTAAATGTAATTGAAAGTATGTGAACTGAAATGTATTATTGAAATTAAAAAAAAAAAAATGTTCAAAAAAAATTATGTTCGCTTAAAAAAAATGTTCAGCTAAGCAAGTAAATTGCGTTCACTTTACGAGACAAACACGAGTTTATTAAMCCTTGTGTTGCGAAGCATTAAGGCAMACACCTGCAATGAAAGTKTGAAAAAATCAATAAATTTTCACAWYTCGATATTCGATAGTTTATATYTTCAAATAAATCATACTTAAATTTAACAATATAGAATAAAATACCAGGCTTGCACATTTAATTTTTAAATTTTTACGTCAACACGCCTTAAACACCAGTTTTTCAAATTCAAAACAATGCAAATACAAACAGTGTTGCTTTTTTGACAGTTCACCTTGGCAAATTCCTTTTACCGTTACACACTTGATATGTTTACATGCACATAAAGATCAAAACATGTGTTTGTGGCGCAGGGTGAACGTATTTTGAGCAGCAAGAATTGAAAYGAAAACAAAAGCAAAAGCAAATATTTGAACAAATTGTATTACACATGAAAAAATGAACGCTCAATAAAGGTGAACAGCAGAAAATCACAAAACGAATTTAACAGTTAGTGGAGACAATTACAGGCAACTAGAAAAATGCGCGTACACAGCGAAACAGCTGTTGACAGTCAGTTTTAACAGCTGTTTTTGACAACCTCTTTTAACGCCTAATAAATAATAATAAATAATGCTATATTTTTAAATATCCAGGTTTCAATTAATTGTCCCAGAAATGTATTTCCCTAAACTATGTTTGTATGTATGTTTAACTGAAAAGTATATTTGATAATAAAAAGTTGGCTGTTTATATAAATGTACAAGATTTACCAAATAAACAAATGAAAAAAAAAAAAATTACGAATAAAAAAACGAAAGAACACTGATTTTAAAGATTTTAAAGCAAGATATTAAAGCATTAATTCTATAAGAATCTGTCCATAGATTTTAAATAACCMATTTGAGTATCAATAAAAAACTATTGCATATTGCCAAAAGAGTTTTAGATGTGTATATATATGTATATAATAAATATGCTAAGATTTTTCAAAAGTCTATTTTGAATTATACATACATATATTTTTTTTAAATTATACCACTATACTTGTACAGTTACGGCAAGTTTCTGCAGTAAAAGGCCAAAAACACGGAAGTATTACTTTGACACATAATAAGTTATGTATGCAAAGACAAAAAGAAAATAAAYATTTAAAAAATAAACAAAAAATTTAAAACATATTGCAAACCAGTTGGAAAATTTGAATAAAAAAACGTTTGAGCGTTTTTATGTGCAAAAAATAAAATTATTGCCGTGTTTTTATTAAAAAATGTGCTTTCGAGATTATTAGTACGCATAGACAACGTCGTAAGGTGCACGACTGTGAAAGTGGACTTAGARAATCTGGGTTCTTAAAAGATTACGATCTGAACAAACGGATATTCGTATACACTTTGACTTCATACCGGATCACTTAGATCATGGAATCGCCAAACCGCACTCAGGCGGCTCCTTCTCTGCTCATATACCGACGAGGGAGCTGTGGGTAGGTAGAAGCCGTTGGAGGAGAGGGCAGAGAGCTTCTTTACGGATGGGTAAAAGCTTGGTGGGAAGGTTGCTGGAGGGGTTTACTGCCAGGAGCTCTCCACTAACATCAGCTTCAGACTTCCTGGTTATTGCAGTGTCTTCCAAGTCTGCYMCGRAGTACAGRCTCTTTYAGAGAAGTGACCATTYMCTCAAATAGCAGAACGGCGATACTAGCCTTGAACTCATTGACAGTGCAATCAGGGTTGTTAGAGCAGTGCCTAACATCGCTTTTAATAGCATAGAGTGTCTTTGTGATAATACTGGTATAGGTGCCGGGCTATAGCGGAATCGCAGAAAATTGTAAAGCTGATAAGCTAGCAAGGAAAGTCACCCTAGATTCGCTATCGGTAAAATGGGAGCGGGTCAGTGCTTGCGTATCCTATTGTGATCTACTACTAGTTAGCTGAGCTTCGCGGAAGCTTGACTAGCGCTAGGCCACCATCGATACATGCACTGTCACAAAAGCCTTTTGGCCAAAGACCGATCGCAGGAGATTTAGTGATCTCTTTGCGCTCAGTAAGGCTAGCCTCTCCTTAGTTGTGGGGCTTCTAGCAAGCCATTGCCTTATTGGCGTCCATTCTGTGAGGTTTGGTATCTCTATTGCATAAGCTGTATGGAATAAGATGTGGGGGAAACAACGCTACACTTCCATTTTGACTGTCCTGGTAGGTCAAGACWTAAATACTTGGGAGCACTTTCAGATATCCCACCGAACCGGCGGGAGTAGAAACTAAACGCTTATGCAAATTTWCATKGACTACAAAGCGTTTTGCTAATTTATAAGTTGGAACACGGGAKATCTCTTTCCTATGGCTTCTCAAAGGACTACACATAGTAGTCCACCTACGATCATCCATTAGCCATCTAACCTAACAGTTAGCGAACATAAATTTGTAGCTCTTGAAGTAAGTACTTTCGGATTTGTTAAGAGCAGCATAGTTCCACATGATTGGAGTTGAACAAGAACTGGTATAATAGACTGACATAACGAATTATTGATGATCCAAAGAAATAGTTACAGTTGTAATTTAGATCAAGTTAGATTTATTATGATATTTTACGTAAGGACTTCATTACTATGTATTGTATATAAATTTTTGTATCTAACATATATTTCCTTCAATGATTTCAACGCTCACTAAACAGCTATTCTAAAACAACTGTAACAGTGGCGGTGACTTTTATTGTACAATCACTTCACTGTATTAGAGATTTGCATAATTTTAGGCGCAAATTGTTGATCGCTTGCGATCACTGATTTTGTTCTCGACGTCWGTGGAAAATTTGGGTAATCTAATCTAGAAATTCGAAACAATAAAAAAAAAAAACCATAATTAGAGAGTTAAGATTTTCAAAAATAATGATAATAAATTTTTATTTTTTTTTCATCACTTTTCGAAAAGGTTTCAGCATAATGAAAGGGGTATTGAGAAGTAAGTAAAAACTGTGGCTAATATCAAGTGGGTAGCTTTTGAATTCAGAATACGTGAATTATTGTCAAATTGCTTCATAAGAGTCCTGATTTAGCTGATTGGTGTGCAAAAGTTTTCGCTTTTGGTATTAGCACGATAGCAAGTATTTATATTTTCCTTTTGCCTTTTAGTCTGCCTTTTAGTCTCCGGAATTTGTGGGTATAAAAAAATGAGTCCATCGAAGAGATAAAATAAAATTCGTTGAAGGAGCTGAGGGCTAACTAAAAAGTGCTTCTGAAAAGTGTTTCGAGAACTTGAAAAATCATTGGCATGGGTGTATTACATTTATTGAGGATTACCTTAAAGGCGACAAAGATAATGATAAATTGATAAATAAGTAAATATTTTGCGCTTAATTTACAATTTCCAGGTATTTTTTTGTCATTCGAACATATGACTAATTTCAAACAATTTCGGTTTTATGAACTCCAGACCAAGTTCATAATTGCCCAAGTGTTCCACAAGCAAATCTTGTTTACGTAAGGACATGTTTTAATACTTTAACTTTTGTATTTATTTAAAGTTTACATCGATTTTGATTACTTAAACTGGCCGACAGTGTTTATCACGATTTCCTTAGTTGACTTAGCTTACTGAAAATATTTACACTGATGAAAAACACGCGATTTTGCTAATTTAATTCGCAAATAATTTTGTATCAAAAACCCAACAAATGTGCTCATAATATACATATACATATATATATTTATATACATATGTGTATATATACAATTTATGAATATATATATCGTACTTTGACGCTTGTTTTTCATCCTAAGCCACCGCTAATTAATAAATAATACTCTAGTTAGATTAAAAATAAATGTGCAATCAGTATGGCGCTAACAATAACAACAGGATAAACAACAAAACTGACTGCTTTGAAATTCTTATGTAACTTTAAATTAACAACAATTTCGCTGAACATAATTAGAGACACTGGAATCAATTGATAACTCAACTATAATGGTTATAATAGCGTAACTAAGTGTGGTATAATTGTGCGAAAGGGTCCTATGGGACTGATTTTGCAGCTAAAAATGAAATTTTGTTATCTGTTRTTT